TCTAAACATTATTTACGTTCGATTTGACGCTACCGTATTGCCACAAATTCGGCAAATTTGAATTTGATTTACATATTTATAATATTTGAAATAAATTAACCAAAATTTGATTTGTCCACCCGGCATGCTACTTGTTTATCGAATTTTGTGCCGCAATTTATTCGTCAAGAGCTATTTATTAATTGTTTTTTGTTTTTTGCTTGGCACATAATTCAATATACTGGAACTTTTAATCAATTGGCATTTGGTAATAAATTGCGCCATATAGCTCTGTTTACGATAAAATTGCTTTCGAACCCAACAAAATTATGGCCAAAAGCATGCCATTCATTTAATTCCGGCCAATCGAACGTTTTGCGTAATGTGACAGGCCTTTTTGGGATCGGATCTGATTTGATTTAGTTGGCGGCGCAAACCTACGTTGATTAAGTGAGTGGAAAGTTCGTAAACATTTTACCTTGCCTCAAATGGACAACCGCAAAATAGAAATCAAATCAATTCTCATGTGTCACAAACATTTATAATTAATTGAGACATATTTCACACTGAGATGGCAGGGCAGGCATGCGAATGTAACGCACAATGGCAACAGTAACGATAATAAAGCCACAACACATACATACTCATATGTATGTATGTACATTCACACATGTTCATAAATCTGGAATATTAAGCAAAACAACCAACAACAGCCACAAGAGGAACAACAACAACAACAGCAACAAAAGTGCTTATAACAATAAAATGAAATTTATTTTCATGTCAAACTTGTGCTAAAGTTTCATTGAGACCGCAGAGCAGACAGAGCCAGATCGAGGGATATGGCTACAGTTGTGGAGGTGCTGGAGGTGGGTTTTGGAAACACAAGGCCACACGTAAAAAGCTTTTCATTTCGTTTGCCGGTCATTGCCAATGCCAAAGCCTTCTAGTCTCGAATCTCGAGACTCGAGTGTTGAGTGGAGGAGCACGCATTTCTATACTATTTTCAAGTCTGATTGGCTTGAATTGGCTTGTTGTTGTTATTGTTGTCTTTGGTGTGTTGTGGCCAGGTCAGTAACCACTTAAGCATACATTTGTATGTGTGTGGCACTCCATAAACAAGCAACAACAAGATGACAAAAGCGGAAAGAGGAGAACAACACCTTGTTGACTTTACAAGTGTCGAGCCTGCTGCCCAACCATCCATATGCTGCCTCTTCCACCCTCCCTTCCTTCCTTCCACAACTCCTGCCTCAATCTGTGTCAGTCTATCTGTCTGTCTGCACATGCTGTCAAATGTTCAAGTGTCAATGTTGTTGTTAATTAATTTTCCTAGCTGACTGATGCATGCCATTGATAAGTGAGTGCACGGGTCCGAGTCCGAGTCCGTGTCCCTAGTTCGAGTTCGAGTCCGAGCAGCTGCTGACCCTTGGGCCAAGTGTTTCTACTCGTATGTGTGCTGGTCTATGTGTTTGCGTGCTTTCCTTATCCATTAAGTTGTGTTTACACTGGCAATTTTCATTTTTAATCAACTTCTATGTTTTGAAAGTAATAATAGACTCATTAACAAGACAAAGCGCGCTTTCATTTCAAAAAAAAAAAAAAATAGTTTTAAATGAGTTTTCATATAGTATATATAGTATAACTTTTAAAACCTGAAATTTAGGTTTGTATTTGGTTTTGCATTAATTATATTGAAAATAATATGCGATGTATATAAAAAATAAATGAAGTATAACTTATACCCTAAATTTATTTACAAGTCTCATTTTTATTCAAATAAAAAAACAATTCAAATCTATTTATTTTAAATTTGCGTATTGGGTTTGGAAATGTCTGGGCCTAGGCGAAAATATTGCAATTTCTTAAAAAACTCATAATTGACAATTTCTGTATTGAAAGATAATATTTTTTTTATATGGCTCGAACGAAATGATCTGAATATACTAAACAAGGAAACAAAATTTACTATCAACTTTCTTGCACAAAATGGAAGGCTACACATTTATTTCCTAATAAAGACAAACATTGGTTTTTCTCATTCTTCATTCCCTAGAGTCTTCAAGAGTTAATTTTTTCTTTTGAAAATGTTTGTTTTATTTTATTATCTATTAAAATTATTATTTTAATTATAATATATTTTGCTGTAAGGTTATTATATTGGTTCTATATTTTCACAAAATTTGATAACATTATTAATGATATTTAAGACACTTAAAATCTTCGGTGCAGACACGTCCTAAAGGGTTTGTAGGTTTTACGCACAATTGCCTCTATGCGTTGAGTATGTTTGCGTTTTTGTGGCTTGGCAGCTTTATAAACTCTGGTTGATGCGGTTGATATTGTTGTTGATGCTGCTGCTTGATGATCACCTAATGACAGTCCAATAGGCAGTTCATCTTGTCTAGTGTTTAAATTTCCAGGTGCCAGTTCAAAAACATGCCACACATATTTTCATATCTTTGTACTTTTGGCCAATGTTGGCGAAAATCGCATGTCAGCACAATGGGCCATAATTATTTGCTTGGGTAGGTGGCAACATTAGCAGAGCCCTCCCCAAAAAAAAAAAAAAACAAAAATATGGGCCATGACTGGCAGCAAGGGCCAATAGGCTATTTCGGACATGAATTGCACAAGAACCATGTCCATATACATATGTATGAGCGCAGGTTTGTAAGTATATACTATACAAGTATGTATATATAGAGGCGTATATGGATTGGTTTGCATGGGGCAGGTGGGCAGACGTTGTATCGAAATAAAAAGCAGCGAGCCATTAGTCATATTAATCCCAGCAGAGTCATTAAGTCGTAAAACTGTGAAAGGTGCTTGGCCAGCTGAGCGGGCGGGTGGGCTGTGGGGACAAAGGGGGATCAGGTTCAATTCGCTGACCATATTCGAGCGCCCTGCTTTGCCACTCATCATTGATATATGTGGGTCAATTTTTATTTCGCTTCCTGCCGCCATTCAATAAAATGCGGCCTAACAAGTGAGGTGACTGAACCAGGAGCTGTGTGGTTAATATGCGCAGGGATGCAGAATAAAGCGAAACTTTTCCTTTCTGGCTTTAAGTTTAAGGCAGAGCACCAAATGAATGAGTTTGTGAAATTCAGAGGTGAATTACGGGAGTAAAATATACAATAAAAGTAGTTGAAAACTATTTACAAGTAGTTGGAAACTATATTTTGTATAGCTCTACATTTTTTAATATTAAATTCTGTTTTTTTTTCTATTCTTTTTTTATGTTATAACTTATAAGTTTTCTTTTTCTTTGTTATGGAACATGCCAGTATCATTTGCTATTAATTTTCAAATAAGTAAACAAATAAATAAGACAGTGCGCCAAATGATGGAGTTTGTGAAATTCGGAGGTGAATTACGGGAGTAAAATATACAATAAACCTAGTTGGAAACTGTATTTTGTATAGCTCTACTGTATTTTTTTAAAATTTGTATTGATTATTTGAAGTTTCCGTTTTATAATCCAACAAAATAAAAGTTGCAATTTATTTTATGATTTTAGACTTTGAAGGCTATTTTTCCTGGAAGACTAAAAAATTGCTGTTCCATTTTGAAATCATGTATTGTTCTTAAGGCAATGTTATATGTTAGTTACTGAGTTGTGTTAATGTGAATGCGTTTTGTGAACACTCCTATATATGTGATCAATCGACCACTCAGAATTATGCCTTATTGTTAAGACTTCTTGAAAGGAAACGTATTCTAGTTATTGGTTTGTTGGTGTTAGTTTTGGGCTTCTGTTGGCGTTGCTTGCAAGCATGCTAATACAAATGAACTTTTTGTTTTATGCCTATGTATTTAAGTATTTAATTGTTTTTTATTTTTTTACTAAATATTAATTTAATAACAGTTTGAAAATCCTACAAAATTCATGTACACATAAGTTAGAATAAAGCATTTCCAGTTGATTATAGCACATAGTATTTTAAATAATTGTAAGAAACACAAGATACACATAAACACAAATACAACACAAATCAATTAAATGGAAATACTTGAACTTGTAAAATAAAATTGCCAAAGTGCGATACATTTTTTCATGTTCTCTTTCTAATTGTTTCTTATTTTTTTAAAAAAATTTTTGCAGTTACAACACCGAATAAATTGAGGGCCCTGGAAGTGCTGGTGGCGCCACCTGTCGGCAGTTCGGGCCGCGCCGGACCGGACTTTATGTTTGGCGTTGGCACAAAACTTCCGGCAATTTTGTGCCGTAAAATGTTTGCCACCAATATCCGTTGCGTCTCTGTAATGCCGTAACACGCCCACCACCCACCACCCACCACCTACCGCCCAACGTCCCCACCAACACGAGTCAAAGACAGGCGTGCGTGCATTTAAAACTAAACGTGTATGAGTGTGTGTGTGTGTATGTGTGCTTGTGTACGAGCACACTTATTTCCGTGGTGCGCGTTTCCGTCATTTTGCATTTGCAATTCGAATTCGAGGCAGCAAGACTTGTGCATAGCGTTGCAATTTGTTTTCCATTCTGTGTTTTGTTGCTGCTTTTTTCGTAGTTATTGTTGCATATGCGCGAGCTAATTAGCATGCGGCAAATGCGTTTTGCTGTTCATAAAAAACAGCAGCAGCAGCAGCCACAACAACAAAAAGGGGCGTTCCAACAGCTGCTGTAGAATACTTAAAAAGTGTACACTATAAGGCTCACGCCTCACGCCAACACGCGTCGAACATGGAAGAGGATGTTTATGCAGCTCTCGGTTTCTACAATGACAGTGGCGGCGACGATGGGGGGTGGCCTGACAATCACGACAATGCAGGCAGTTATGAGCGGTACTGGTATGGCGGTGGTGGCATCAGCAGCAGTCTGGAAAGCGTCGAGAGACTGAACAGCCTGCTATTGTGGCCCATGGACAAAAGCCGTCAACTGGGCAGCAGCTACAACATCATCAGCAGCAACAACAACTACAGCAATTATGAGGAGCTGATGCCAACATTGGAGACCGCTGTCGCTCACAATGGCAGCCTCAATGCGACCGCAGGCCTATCTGACATGGCCACGCCTTCGCCCGCCATCGACGCTAACAATTACTGGGCGCTGTTGGCCCTAGTTCTGGTCTTTGGCACTGCGGCGGGCAACATACTCGTCTGTCTGGCCATCGCCTGGGAGCGTCGCCTGCAAAATGTTACCAACTATTTCCTCATGTCCTTAGCCATAACCGATCTGATGGTCGCCGTCTTGGTTATGCCATTGGGCATATTGACGCTTGTGAAAGGTGAGTGTGGAAAAAAAAAAACAACACAGCGGTACTTATTTTATAAATTACTAAAAGGGAAGTATTAGCTGACACACCTCAATAGAGAACTGATTATGTTATCCAATAATTGCCTAGCTGCTTACTTCCATTTGCTACCAAATGACGAAGGTGAAGTAAGAAAAATGTTTAATATTTGAACACAAAAGCTGATAGACAATAAATTTCATAATCATATTTATATTGCTCATAAATGAAATAATTAATCGTTAAGTTTATTGAACAAATTTAATGATTGTCCACGATGGACAGTTTTTAAAAAAAACACTCTGCTGATACAATAAATATTTATATTTATATAGCTCCCCCTAAATTAACCCTTGTTGGCAAAAGATAACAGTAAACAAGGAATTTATGTAAATTGAAATTAACTAAGAAGGTTCTATATAGTATGACACTTAAGTATAGATTGCCGATCCCTGTCCACGATGGACAGTTTTTAAAAAAAACACTCTGCTGATACAATAAATATTTATATTTATATAGCATCCCCTAATTTAACCCTTGTTGGCAAAAGATAACAGTAAACAAGAAATTTATGTAAATTGAAATTAACTAAGAAGGTTCTATATAGTATGACACTTAAGTATAGATTGCCGATCCCTGCCCATTCTTTGCAAATTATAATAGTTTTCCTTAAAAAGTAAGCTGCTTCAGCTATTCGTATTATATACGACAACACAAAGAAGCTACGGGTCTATGTGAGGTCTTTTGAAGCTTCTTCTGCGTTTTAAGCTAGCCTTGTTTTAGAAAATTATTTAACCTTTATTGGAAATAATGCATTAAAATGAAGTGTATTCGAAAAGAAATGATCAGTATGATACAATTAAGCTATGTTGTTGTTAATTTTGTTTGCTGACGTAGTTGGCTCTTCGATACATAATTAGTACAAACATATACTAGTTTTTAAAAAAAAGCTGAACTCAACAATTAATTTATTTGTACTTATTATTTCCCCTCGCATAGATTCTGCCAATACTACTGATATTGAGAGGCTTTATTTATAGGCTATTTTCTCAGTTAATGCCAGAAATTGATTTGAAACTTTCAGCAGAAAATAATACCTTTGCCAAGTCAATCAATGGTTAGTGAAATCATTCACTATCAGGATCTAGGTATCCTTCATTTGGTACTTTATCAGCTCACAATAGACAGCAATTCAATTTTGCTTTAATCTGGTCATTTTTTGTTTATATTTCGTGCCCAAGCTACAAGTACTACAAGCACGACTGGAACTTCAATAAGAATTTGCAAAGGAATTCACAGAGAAATTCCAAAATTGAAATCCAATAAGCATTTGAAAAGCGTTGCCCAATCAGCTGCTGGCTGTGTTAGCAGCAAGCTCACAATGCGGTCATCATTAAGCCGCAAAATGCAACCGAATATCGTCTTACCATAACCACCTTACCCGCCCCCACACTCTCATCCCCTTGGTGGGGATGCTGCAATCAGCAGGCAGCCAGGCAGGCAGGCAGACAAACAAACAAACAGCCACACAATAGAGTGTGCAGCATATCGGGCGATGCTGACACGGTCGCGAATAATGAAGATGTAGTTGCCGAGGAGCGTACGGCTCGCTGATTGCATTATGTGTGCAAGATGTTTCGATCAAAGCCATGCCGGCGACAGATGGCAAAAGAAAATGGAACTAAACATAAACCATAAGCAGGGCGCAAAAGATAATTGAGAAAATTTAATAACTGACACGCTTTGTTCGACGCCTTCCAGGCGCATTGCAATACAGCCTAGCGATGGGAACCGGTTCCAAACAAAGTAAATTTAAAATAATAAAAAGAAATTGAAAAAAAATCTAAAAATGATTTAGCAATAAAAATCAAATATAAAATAAAATGGCTTAGATTAAATATTAAATTGAATCATTAATTCATTTCCCAGCTAATCAGAAGTGAAATCACAAAATACTAAACGATTTTAGGCTGAGAAATGTAATAAATATAATGAGAGAAAACAAAAAGTAAATTTATGTAATTCTGAATAATGTTTTGTGCAAATATTTGAAATTTAAATGGCAACTTTAAACGAAAAATTCACTTGAAGTACAAAGTATTAATTGCGAACGATTCGTGTACGAATGGTCGATTTCTTTGCTGCTCTTCATCATTCTATTAATTTTCCTTAACTTTTAATGTTCTATTTGGCATTGAATGCTTGTCAAAATGCAATTGTTTTGTTTAATTTTGACATCGTGATTCTCGTGCCTTTTAGTTTTCCACTCTGGACTCTTCAGTGATACCAAAAGCGAGGCATGTCGGGAGGGAAAAGCATGGCTAAGACAAACGGAAGCATTTTACTTTTCTGCACAAAGTGCAGCATAAAAATGGCATTAGAAGGCTGCAAACGAAAGCGAAAAACTCTGAGGAGGGCAAAGGCAAATAGCGATAGCAGCTGTCTGCCTGACTGCTTTTATGCTTACCAGCTTACCTATTTACCTGCTTACCGGCTGCCTTCTCTCGGCACGCTCCACGGATGATGACAGTATTTTTCTTTTTCTTTTCTTATTTTTTCAAGTTTTTCCATCTGTGCTTTTCGTTCGCTTTGGGAGCCATTACACACGCACGCACAAACACCTGAGTTCACACACACAAATACACACTTGGCAAATAGCAAAGTGAGCAATGCCTCGAGTGTCTCAGTCTGTGTGTGTGTGTGTGTTTCTAGGCAAACAAATGGCTGCTTGTTATATCAAGTGTGAAAAATATTGCAGCCAGGAAAATGCAGCGCCCTACGACCAACGAACGCAAGAACTAACGAACGAAGGTACGTTTGTGTCAAAGTCAAAGCAAATAAAGGCAGGATTTGAATATGTCGAGAGCACTGAGTTGACAGCAGCTTTGTGGGGAAACGAAAGCGAAAGGTCTCAGGACAATGGTCTGGGAGTGACTGCTGAGCAGCTTAATATTAACATTGTAAATACCTTGGCCCTAGATTGTTTGTTCAGTATTCGTATCTTAAATAGCTCTAGTGTCAATAATGCCGGATAAATTTGGTAGCTATTGGTAAGGCGTTTGCCTTTTATGTTTTGCGGAAAAATATCAAACGAAATCTAGAAATGTTTTCCTTTATTTATTATATTAACAAATACAATATGCTTTATAGACATTATTTTTCTAAATCGAGCAAAGGCTCGAAAAATATGTTTAATAAATAATTGAAGTCCATTAACTACCTTAAAATATGTACTCAGAAAATACCAGCAATATTTACATATAAATATGTGACGAAAAAAAGATGGGTCGAATAAATAGTTCGCGACTGATTATTTTAATTGCAGCTATAATTTCATTTTATAGAGTTGTTTTAATTATAAATTAGAATTGTTTAGATTTCAAATCTCATTATAATAGTGATTACTGCTATAAATTATATGTTTAATGCCTATATGGAGATATGATTCAAATGAAGTGGTACTCAATTGAAATGTTCAACTAGTGCTGCAATTTCTCATTATATAGTATAGTGTGTGTCATTGGTGTTTTTCTAATATAATTTTTGTAATTAAATAAATATTTTAAGAAGTTCTAGCTTGAAGTTTAGGCTGTTGCGGCATAAATTGTTTATTGAAGTTGCGTGTAAAATGTCTATGGATTATTAAATTGAAAGCACATTTTAAGATTTAATGGAGATTTGGCACAATTTCTTTTATTTATGGGTTGAAAAAGTCAATTCGACTTTTTTGGAAATCCCTTTTTATTGTTAATACTACAATTTCCCTTCGCTCAACTATCGAAGAACGTGTTTAATAATTTAATAAATTAAAATTTGGGTTTGGAATTTGTAGTTTTTTTCAACCTATTAGAAAGTTTTCACACAGAAGAAAAGAATTGTTTTTATTAAATGTAGAATTAGGAACATTTTCTTCAAATAATGAAGCATAAATATATGAGTTTTCGAATCAGAATTTCTTTAATTATATAAAACATTGCAAGCCCAGGAGCTTTTATAATTACCATGCAAGGAAATGCAAATCCATTTCCTGTTTATCTAGATTATAAAGTTAAATTGATTGTTTAATAGAAATGCTACCTTTATTGGATTTTATACAATTAAGTAGTTACATTTATTAGTGATATCAGATGTAAAGACTATGTATACAATTAAGTAGTTACATTTATTAGTGATATCAGATGTAAAGACTATGTATACGTGTGTATATACTTGTAAATATGCATGTATATTCTGTTACATAATAAGAAATCCCCAAACACGCCGCAGTTGTAAGCCAAATCGCAATCTCAGCAGACCACAATGCTGACCAGAGGCAAACTGCTGCTCGGTTGTTTCAATTACGCACACACGGACTGCTGATTGTATGCAATCTCCTTTGCTCCGAAATCGCTTACAAACAAGCATATGCATATATTTATGTTTATATTTAAATGTGTATAACCACTGATGAAGTCATGCATTGGCTCTGTGGATTCAGACAACGTGCAGCAAATGTTTAAATTATTATTACATAATTAATGCATAATTTAATTCATTATAATGTATGCATGAAATGCAAGTTAATTAATAACTGTAAATGCAATTAAGACCAGCAAAGAATCACAACAACGTCTGGTAATGGAAAATGCCAAGCCTTCAACTCAAAATGTTGTGTCAATACAGTATTTGTTGCACGTGTAAGTAAAAAGCTTTTAACACTAATGGACAAAATTTTTGCTGCTTCAAAAGCGACGTCAAAAATTACATGATTTGTGCGATACAATGAATGTAATATTGATTACTTGGATTAAGTAATCGACTGTGATTTTTCAATTATTCAATTCTGTGCAGCTACAAAAAATTACTCTGCGCGTAAGCGGCTCTCATTCTAAAAGTTGTTATTATTTTGTTCCCATTGTTGGATACACGTACTTGGAATGTCAGTGCGAATATTGAAAAACAAAATTGCAAACAGTCTGATTTGATTTCCCGAAAAAAGTAAAAAGTGAATTAGA